TTATAGGAGAATAAGACGAATCAATAATAGGAATAAGAATGAATAACTAGTCATTTCAAATTTAGAATACGGTCACAGACTTGCAATCGACTTTGCAAATGTACGTCTGTTGCATAGACCATAAACAAACCGGAAGAGCAGTGACCAGCGTCATCCGAATTCGGCACACAACGGGACGCGACGGCAAATTTACTTCACTTTCCCACCTGACCGCTAACTGGACTCTTCTTTAAACGATCGTAATTCATTTTGCATATTTATTTGGATATTTTTTAGATTAACAGTGTTTTTGTGCCAATTTAGTTATCACTAAGCAATATTACAGCACACAACAACAATTTTATCAAAAGTTAAAACTTTTATTATATAACTTAATAACACGATCAGATGAATAAAACATATATACAAGTGGTAGCAAACAAAATAACGGTACAAGTTTAAAACATCTTCAGAACCTTTTCTGACCTAACTTTATATAACTTTAAACCTTATCCAATATTCTACCAACATACATAAGTCTCATAATCTATTACGAAAGATTACCATTTGAAAAGGTTAGAACGTTGTAATGAAGCCGCGCTCTTATAACCTACAGGTAATTTGTCTGAACTTTATAATTTGGTCGTACCTTGATATTATATTATAGCCTTTCTTATGGCTATAATATAATATCACAAACACAATTTTCTCTAAAGAAAATAAAAAAAAGGAAATAAATTTTCCACATTCTAATGATACTTCGCCTCGCAATGTTACGATTTACATTGGTAAAAGAGTTTTTGTAAATCGGTGCCGTAGTTTTTTATAGTTTATACATTGGAAACAAAAGTCTAATTTCTTTATATAGTTGTGGATTATTCTCATTTATTGTTTAATTTTGTATATTGTAATTTCATGATCCTGTCAGCTCGTGGCTTATGTGGTATCCTTGTAACTTGGCTTGTACTTTGGTGAACCTATAATTTATCATCTGTCCCCCTTTGTTATTGGACCCCAGAGAGGACTATCAGTAACAGAGATCACCCCGGATATATTATTGCCCTATGGCGACTGGAATTTAATTATGTCTGGATAAATAAATTGCCATAGCATTTTTTATATTTAGACTACAGTATAGTTAGACACTTTAATATTTATTGAAAGTCTTGGAGGGTTGGCGATCATGATTACGACGACTACTTTGATTTTGGATGCCACAATTCTGAACAATGTCCTTTGAATTACCAATTCTGAGCTTTGGCCGTACCGTTGTCGAAGATTCTTACCATGGCGTCTGCGGCCAAGTTGTCACCTATCTGCCACTGCCTTGTATGATTAGTTGAAGAAGCTAGTATTTTTGGTGTTAGGTACATAAAACGTGACTAATATGTCCAAAAAATCTTGTCTATACTGTTAAAAGTTATCTACTGACTGCAAAAATAATTATTCAATCGTTTTGATCGGTTAGAAATCCTTGATTTCATCTTTACGTGTATCCAAAACTATTATATATATATGTATAATTAATACCTACACCATGAATTGCTTGTAAATTAGCATAACAACTCTAGTAAGTACAAGTAACGGACTTTTGCCAATTATGGAAAACATGTGAAGCTATAAATATAAAACAATGGTACAGTATTTTTTATAAGTATCTTGCGAAGCGTTGTATTATCGTAATTATATCTCTTTTTTTAATAATTGTATGTTTTGCCAGTATGAGTTTCACTAGACACTCTTCTTTTTTATATGCGAACTTACCAGCGAGACACTTTCTTGTCATAAATTGAGAGTATTAACAGCATAACATTGAATAGCTATTGAAGGCGTTATTTAAAGCCTGAAATATTTATAAGAAATATTAGTCTTTATCACTTTCTTGCGCTTTACAAATAAATAACGTGATCAAACATTTATTAACTATTGTTCTTATTTTATGGATTTAACTGTACCTGTAATATTACTAAAAAGAAATACTATTTATCTTCCTTACATAAATCTAATTTTATATTTGTATGAGTGGAAGACCGCGGCGACCGGATATCCGCGACTGGTCGGTACATTCGGGTGCACATGTCTGTTCACTATATAGTCGTAAAAGTAGCTATTAAAATGTATGTTATCTATTTTATGCTGTATTAAGTTTAGTATTTAATAACGGTCCTACATTATTAAGGCCGCGGATAGATTAGAACTATATTAGCCTAGTTTTTTAATCATTCAAAATTTGGCATACGAACGCCGCGAAGTCTATTTCATAATAATTATGGCTACAAGGCTACAAGGCTTTATGGAGAAAGTCCTGGGTTCGATCCGAATCAATGTACTTCTTGTTGGTAGCCACAAACTACGTGCCATGGAAAGGATATTAAAAAAGGAGTGTATGTGTGTTAGTGCCCCATTAATGATTTATACACATTTTTATTTTATACTAGTTATACGAGTATAAGCACTTATCCAGAACATTGGAATGAATATAATATATATAATAATTATTAAATAATTACAGTTAAAAGCTGTACTGCTCTGAACTACAATTATATTTTTTTATTAACCTTGTGTTTTTCATAGTTATATATTGGTCTAATAGGGTTTACCAATAATTAAGTACTTACAATTCATTGATTCAAGCTTTTCGTCGTTCAATATATTAGGCGTTGTGGTTACAAAGAGCAACATTATATTTTTATTATTGGTGTCTAAATAGGCCTGATTTTTAATCTTACAATTTGAACCGTTACCAACGCGGCACAGCCTAAACAATTATTACTTTCTTTACACAGTAGGCTGGTAATCTCGCTCCATAGGTAATTAGGTAGCTATTTCAACGCTTTCACAGATTCGCTTGGAAATGGTATAAATTCATATTTAAGGGTCAAGAGGGAAATAATAAATTCCCATATGTAATCTAAAAAAAATGGTTGCTACTTAACACTTGTTGTTGTATACTTAAAAGTAACTTTCTATCAACATTTTAAAATTCTCTCTCAAGTCTCAAGATATGTTTTATCAACTGACTGAATGTAAAGTAATTTTGATAAAGAAGAACCTTTTAATCTATTTCTTTGTTGATAAAGAGCGAACGAGACTACGAAGAACGAACGAAGGGCGCATTAAGAATGAATACGCGTTCAAAATTTTAATAAACTGAACATCGATGTTTTTGCATCGTCGAGCATCCGACCCAAGTAGCCCCGACTACTTGGGTCGTTGGATATAGCTAACACAAAGTACTGTTAATGCTTCTAAATTTACATTTATTTTCGCCGTTCGGACGAGTAGACGCGCGCTAAATCGCTTACACAACCAACTAGGAGCTACGGCCTCTCCATGGACCACTAACGTAGATGGATAGGATATGCCATAGACACGCCATGTTAATTGGATGGATACACACACAGCACTGGTGATCTGTAACTGCTGCAATCATCGTTGCGATTCCAACTTCAAAGTTGAGACATCAGCACCACGAATATAATGAGAACTAAATAACGTCGGGATTGCTGTCGCTGTGGCTATTTAAAATAAGAGTTGCTGGTCTGTTGTATGAAGAACGAGGGCCGTATACTTTGTTAACATTTAGCGACAATTTCCTTACTATAAAAAGTTTTCTCAAGACCTGATTGAAACTGCAAAGCAGTCGCGCGTATCTTGGCAAAACTAATATTTATAATCCTTTCTAGACACTAGCATAATATCTAGTACTTAACTGTAGTTTTTAGGTCAATCCCAATAAGGCTGGCATTAAGACTGTTACCGGACGTAGATATTTACGCGACCTAAACCCACTCTATGTGGGTGTTATATGGTGGTCAGTTTTTATGCAACTTTATTTCTACAGCACACCAAACAAATCTTTATACTTTTAGTCGCAAGACACATTATTGTTTTTACGATAGACGGCTTTTCCAGTTTAAAACGTGATGTTTTGACACTAAACCGCATTTAAACAAACAAAGCTTTGGTGTTGTCTATGAGATGAACATAACCTCTATTTATACATTCCTTATATGTTCAAACGGTTATATTTAGCGATGCGTAGCTCCGACTATTAAATCATTAAACTCGGGCAATGCTCACATAATGAATGCGTAAGAGAAATGGCCTTATATGATGTTATAAGTTTGTATAATTGTCGGTAAGTATATTAACCACTATTGTGAGATACGCAGTAGTTGTTTTTACAGTAGGCACAGTTACGCCATTATAGTTCGATAGCTATCATATTGATACTTTATATAAAAAACAATAAAAGTGTATATTTTGGTGAATAAATGAAAGGACGCGTAGCAAGTTAGTATTGTATTAGTTCTACGCCACGCCAATTCTCTTTCCGGATAGACTCAACCACACTTTAAAATATAATAAAACTTTATTGTTTATATATTTACCTCATTGAACTCTTAAATTTAGACCTACCTAATGTTTAAAGACATTTCCCTTATCGGGAGTAATTATTAAAATACCGGCTTGTTTCCATCTAATCTCGTGGGATTTATATACATGTACTTCATGATATAAGCCTTGTAACAATTATTATAACAACCCACGTCAGTGATAACTTACGATACCTTCAAAGAATTTATAATAAACCTTAGGATTCAATTTTATATTAAGTAATAATAGGTCTCTCTTATGAGCTTCAGCCTAAGTCACCACTGCCTAGCTTTATTGGGCTATAGGCTTATAGCTTTAATACGAAATTTATTGGCATTTAATAAAAAATAATATAGAGCAGTGTTGGCCTCATGGCTTCAACGTGCGACTCTCATCCCTGGGGTCGTAGGTTCTATACTCGGCTTTGTCCCCATAAACTTTCTGTCTATGTGCGAATTTAACACTCGCTCGGACGGGGTAGGAAAACATCGTCAGGCACAGCAGCTGGCCTATTAGAAATGATCACAGAACAGATACAGAGTTCTGAGGGCCATACCTAAAAGGTTTTAGCTCGCTATCGGTGTATATAGTTATATACATAATATATTGGTTCTAAATTGTCAAAAATGGGTTTTCAGAAAATGGGCGCACCAGCTTGGGGTACTCGCGGGGGCGGTGATAGGCCTCGCCTGCTGCGCATGACCCCGCTAAGACATAGCTTCGCAGCACCCGCTACGCCGCCTGCGCAACCACCTCGTACTCACGACTATGCGTCTGATGCTGATACCAAAAAAGGTATAGTTCAAGGTTCTAGTAAGGCGGAAGTTTGAATGCAGGTGTTGACAGGACATGGATGTTTTGGGCGATACTTGCATGACATCGTGCGGCGGGAACCAACACCGAGCTGCTTGGAGTGTGGCGCAAATGATGATACTGCACAGCATACGTTGGAGGACTGTCCGCAGTGGTCTCAGCTACGTCACAATCTTATTTCTGTGATGGGTAATAACCTTGCTTTGCCTTGTGTGGTACAAAAAATGGTCGGCAGTGACGAGGTATGGAATGCAGTGGTATCCTTCTGTGAGCATGTCATGCTACAGAAGGAGACAGCAGAACGAGAGAGGGGGGAGCGCTTTAGGACGAATCCTAGGGGTAGAAGACGGGGAGTAAATAGGAGAAGATATGCCCATCTCCTACCTCCTATGTAGCTGTATCATACACCGGAGGTTTTTGGGTGTAACATGCCGTTGAGGTCCCGGTAGAATGCGACAGCGACCCCGGAGCCTCTGTAACGCGGCTTTGTCGGAACTACTCGAGGTGGTTTTAGTGGGTATTGCTCACCCAGTCTCTGAATAGCAGAGATTTTGGCGTGGGTTGAGTCCCACATACCCCTGTTCAGGGGATGCGCAAATGCATTTCCACCTCGGATAACAAAAAAAAAAAAAAAAAAAAAAAAAAAAGGCGGAAGTTTGAAACAAAATATCAGTCAGCCAGATTAATAATAATATCTACGATCTATGTACCTATGTACTTGTATTTAATTAGTGTAATTTTTATATAAAATCCGGGCCTATTGCTAATTCAAGTACTTTTATATGTTTCAGAAGAAAGCTGGAATGCTAATTTATCACAGCGATGGCGGAAGCTAAGACGTAGATGCTCACGGCTGCGACCTGGTTCAGGAACCCGTGAACCCAGCCCCGTTCGTCGTTCCCCATCGCCACCCTGTCCTCCACCACACTGTTCGCCTGCTCCAGCATCAAAACTTTCCTTCAGGCATCGAGGCAAAGTTTACACTACAGCTTCTCTTCGCGTCACTAGTGGAGCACCCGATATTCTAAGAGCACTTGGAAAATTAGGCGGAGGGTTGAGAAGAAGGGCTCTATCAGCACACGATGTCTTAACACCGCCACAACAACAACCTTCAACTTTCTATGTTCCTAGTCCTACAGCTATTCGAAATCCCCCTTCACCATCACCAACCAGACAAACCTCTACCGTTCGTAGACGATGCAGCTCTCCCAATATATATAGAACAAAGAATGGCAGAGACCGAGCTCCTATAAATCAAGAAGATGAAAGCAGAGATGTGGTAGACTATTCATATGGATTAGAACGTAGAAATAATAGTAGAAATGGGCGAAGACCGTACAGTGAAAACGTTGAGATACCTATTTATAAGAATGGATACGACCGATTGGCTAGTGATACTGAAAGGTTATGGGAAGAACCGTACAGATTGCCCAGAGTGCAAATGCGACAGGATCCAATCCAGCAATTAAGAAATGGTGTTTCCGAGTTGCGTGTGAGTTCAACGCCTCGGTCTGCAAAACCTCCTGTAGCGTCACCTACAACTCAGAAAACCCCTAAACGACCCCCAATTCCTGAACCTCGAGACACACACACTTTTGAGGTATTTGTTTGTTGTTCTATTGATTTTACAAATAATCTTTGTTAAATAACAAGATCTTAATTAGTATTTTGGTCGTATAGTAAAATAAGTTTAATTTTATACCATTCCCTAGACATAATTATAATAATTTAAATTAAGATACAATTTTAAATTATCTGTCAGAAACATCCTTCTATATATATTTCCATCCTCCGACTGAGTGTGGATATCTATTAGATATAGATAGATTAATTATTTACAGTCAATATTGAAGAATATTATTGTACATTTCCAGGTGCGTTTCACAAAGTCTGCCGGCGGTAAAGGGCTTGGGTTTAGTATCGTAGGAGGAAAGGATTCACCTCGAGGAGACATGGGCATTTTTGTGAAAACAATATTCAACAACGGCCAAGCCGCGGAGTCCGGTTTACTACGAGAAGGTAACGAAATTTCACTTAAAATTATTCATATCCGAAAGTGTCAAACCAGTTGTCAGAACTGGATTCTACAATTTTCACACTCGAAATTTTACACAAGAAAATTATTTTGTATTGATCACTTATTAAGGGCCGTCTCGCTTAATAAATCTTGCAGCTTATGTTTATTGAGAATTTATATTCATATTTTTCAATATTAAAGGGTAAATAGTAATTTAGATGATATATGTCTCGTGTTACGTGCAGACAAAGAGTTCATAGTCTCCTTACATAATGTAAAAGCTATTATGGGTTATTGTGTAACGTGCACATTCCTCACTGTCGGTTAATAACAGCTGCATTTCACTGCCCTCGGAATTCACTTTAAACCACCTGCCTACATAATTTTTTTAACTTTATATTAAGGAATAATTCGACATTTTGAACTATACGTTACCATATACGGAGTATTACGAAGTTGTTCATGTCGTGGCTATTATGAAATTAGTTGTTGATTGTTAATACATTATAACAAAATACGTACATACATATCGTACGTATTTTGTATTACGGTACGGTTTGAGTACGGTTATGGTTGTCGAATATATAGAAATCGAAACCTTAAATTTTAAGCTTCAAAATATCAACGATATAAGAGAGAGTTATTTTGGTGTTTTTTTACGAGCCATTGATTTCTCAAATAATTACACACACTAGAAATCATTCTTTGAAATAATTAATTATAAAGCTGTACTAAGAATTTTGAAGTGTCTTTGTAATAGTTGAGCAGAGAGGTTTTTAATTAAAATAGTAATTTTATCATATAATGTTGATTAATTACTCTCTAAAAAATGTTTTTGATAATAAACATATCTATAAATGAGTACAATAAACGAGTAAAACTACGTGTGTGTAAATAAAAAAATACGAACGATAAGAACAGAGTAATGAAATCTGCATGTCTGTTGGGATTTTCATCTATAGATTAAGCTTAGTTCGGAACAATTTATTCAATAAATATCCAAAATCTCGATTACCCTACCCTTAACTATCTTTCCACTAAGTTAAACAATCGACTTTCTCCATATTCCAGGTGACGAAATCGTGTCCGTAAACGGCCGAGGAACTGCTGGTTTGACGCACGGCGAGGCCATACGGTTATTTAAGGATGTCAGAGCAGGCCCGGTGCTCCTTCGCGTAGTAAGAAGAGCTCCGGCCCGCTGACTGCCCTGCGCCTGCTGTGGCGAAGAGCCACTCCAGGCGCCTCACTATGTCCCTGATTATTCTACTATTTAGATATTGTAATGCTATTATTTTTTTATACGACACGGTGTAAATTGGACACTTGTTGTGAAGTGATACCGCCGACCATGGACACTTTCACTGCCAGTAGGCGAATCCTATCGCGAATGCGTGCCGGCTTCTTAGTATTCATAATTGATATGAAGCTAGATTTAGTCAACTAAAGTTTTGTCGTAGAAAGTAAATAGCTGCAAAGTATTTGAAGTTTTATGAAGAGTGGAGTGTATATTTTCAAAATAAAAGTGATTTATTTTTTAAACTCCGTAACTTTTCATTGTAACATCTATAAGTCTGATATAACGCGGCCCAATTCATTCAAATAACTCCTATATTTTAATTGTAATAAATAAAGACATCTATTTCCATTATCCACATTTCAGTTTTTAAGTAACTTTACTTTATAAGTAAAGGATCTTTTTAAAAAGTACATATATTTACTATTTTTGAATTAGTACTATAAGTAAATTTTAAATAGCTGAAGGGTTCAACACACTTACTGCTTATAACTTAAAGGCCTACGAGAGTAAATAATTATATTGTATAATATAACTTGAATGAACTCATACAACAATAATGTTTTAATCGAGCCGATTGTTAAGGTGTAAAATGAATAGTGTATATAAATAAAATACTTACAGATTAAATTATTAGAATAGCGAAAACTTATGAAATATTTGTATAAAATAAAAGTACAAAACCTAATATAAAAAATATATTAAAGTTTTTATTATGTGTCATTGCTACATACGCATTCTATTTAATTGAATACATATATAAAATTATTTAAAATTTATTTCCTTTGTAATTCAGTCCCTATTTTGTTGTCTGTATGATAAACATGAATAATGATAATTATTTGGGTTTACTCACTAAATAATAACTAAGTTGTTCCATTGATACAGCGTTTGCATTATACAATAAATACCACGGAAGTAAATAGAAAATAGAAAATTATTATATATTTAAGTCTAAAAAAATGTATAAAGGGATTCGTTTTCTGACTTAAATGCTTTTGTTTTGCTATTTGAGTCTGTGATAATTATTAAGAAACCAAATTTAAATATTAGGTATAAACTGCTAAGTATAATTGTAATTTTAAATAATTACATCAGATTTGGTGACAGCATTGCTACCGTAGCTGTACCATAAATTGGACAAGTATTCAACGAGTGACCTCTGAAGTCACATTTTTATATAAAAAATTGTTATAAAACTATTTTTGGTTTCGAAGGTTAAAAATGAACTTGTATACGTATATTATGCTTGAATTATTTTGTAGCATACAGATAAGGCTTTTACTAAAACAATTATAGTCTGCAGACCAAAATGTAATATATAAGTGAAGCTTTGTACACTTGTGACCAGCGCCTGATTAACTTTCATTATATCATATGTATTTTTGATAACATTATGGTATAAAATATATTTTTCCTTTGATGAAATATGGACAAATGTGAAAGTGTTTTTTTATGTTAAATCTAAATATATATTTGACTTTTTTTTATGTTACTTTTACTTAAATATTTCAAAATTAAACACGAAATAAAATTTCAATTAAAAAAAATGTAATTTCAATAACAACACATGCACGATTTCACGGCAATGTTTAGCGGGATGACTGAACAAGAAGAATTGGAACGTAAGGATTTACGTTCCGATTCTTCTAAAAGTTATATATTGCCAAGATCATAATACCTATTTGAATTGTTAACTTGTATAAATGATTTATTTTTCAGTACATTACTCGCTCAATACTTCCTCACTAATATCACAATGTGAGGAGTAACTGACCTCGAGTGTACAAAGTTTTGTCACCTAGTGAGCAAAAATTATTATAGATATAGCTATTTATTATTAATGAGAAATAATTTATAATAAATGCCTTGATTAAATTGCACAACTAACATATTTTGCATTTTGTATACCTAATATAAAAAGAAGTATCGTAATATATGACAACGAATAAAGAGAAATATATAAAATTAAGTGTTTTACTGGAAACTAAATGATAATAATTGAATAGTATATTAATCTACATATTTATATTAAGCTAGTTTATAAAGGTTCTAAAATTTGGAATATAATATAGGTACTCTTTCGACAAGTAAATGAAAAATTTATTAACTATCCATAAACATTAATGCCGCGCCTACTGAAAAAACATCCTGACTTAAGATGTTGCTTCAATTATTAGCACCGTTATAATATTGAATAGGAAGAGTATATAATATGAATAGTCAATGACAAAGAAGCGAATGTGTGTCCTCCAATATAACATTCTGGGCCTACATGTACTTTATTATCCTAAAATTAAGATCTGTGTAAAAATCTTTATCAACCAAAAATGTTAATGAAAACAAAATGATTTTTAAGAAAAATTTATTATAAAAATAGCACTAATTTCAAGGTATAATTTAGGGACTATAAATATTATGCGGTTACACTTTCAGTGTTTCAACGATATTAGTAAAATATACAAGTTAGAAAAATAGGAAATGTAACATCTATTTACATGATTTCATAAAGTATTAGAAAAATAACTAACAAGATAACATTATTATTCAAAGTTAGGAATGGCAAGGCATATGTTAACTGGTATTCAAAAATTAATAAAAAAGCAAAGTTACTATTGCTAATTAATAATGTAACATTTGTAAAAATAAAAAATAATGTGTTCTACATTAATAAGGAGTGAAAAGTTATTTATAATCAATTAATGCAAATTTTAATATCTGGCAATAGGAATTTTGATTCCAATGGCACGCCCTTAATACAAATACATATCGTATAATTCCTAGATCATACTTACAGCTACTTTACTTCAAGACTAGTATTTTAAATAATAAATAAACGTTTGAATAATTCAATTCAATTACAGTCTTCGGGTTTAACTAGGATACGTTTAAAACGCAATCTGCTTCCACGGAATAGACAATCTTTCACAGACCATAGAGATTAATAAGGTTTCAGCACAAACCAAATTCTACAGAAATTTTTATCTGAACTAATTAACCAGTGGCAAAAATCTAACAACAACAGTATAATTCTTTTAAAAGGTCCGATTGCTACTACGAATAGCAATGCTAAACTTGCATGTTAAGAAAATAAAAATCTTTTATGATATGTTCTAATTTTCTTACCGCAAAATTCAAGCATTCAATATGAGACCACGCCATAGTATAGAGATTTATACCGCTGACTGTGATTGATGCAATATTAAGTTAAGAGCCACTGGACATAAGAGAGTCCTTGTTTATCTGGATCCAAGCTAGTTATTGGAATTTATGGGGTTTTTCAATACTAAAGCAACTTGTCCAGCAGGAAGAGCTTTTAAAGCCGCCCACGCTTGCGTACGTGTGAATCCTTCGAACGATTGTCCTCCCGCCGAGAGAAGTTCAGCACCAACCAATACACGACCGCTTTGAGCTGCAGCGCCACCTGTGATTCAGACATTAAGTAAATAATAGAAAGCATGATTTAATTTCTGGAGGCTACTGAAGACTAATATATGTTGCCTATTGAACAATGTTAATAATAATTTCAGTGGTAATCTTACTTAGATCAAAATGTTTGAAATGCAATAATAATTAGATGTTTACCTGCAAATAGTTTCTTAACAGTAAGTGGTTTGTCTCCATTCGGCGAGTCCCTCCCACCATCAAGTCCAAATCCTAACCCAGCGCCGCCACCGGCTTTTTCTAAAAGGACAGTAACTACTGATGCATTGCTTTTCTTGCCATCCTTGACACTGGTTTTGCCTTTCGACTCCGCTGTAAAAAATTAATACGTTCGCTTTATATTTAATAATATTTAAAAATTTGATGTTTGTAATGCTAAAAGATTGGGAGAAATTAAAGGCTATTAGCATGGAAGAGTAAAAAAGAACTTCCAACCGGTCTTTCGACCCCATCAATCTGTCTTGCGAAGTAAAGTAGTCTTCTCTTCTACGAGTATATACCTAAAATGGTTATGCCAAGCGACTTAGCCCGCAATTTTTAGAACTCGGACGAAATAAAAAGTAAGCATCTTCTTCAAAAGTGAATGTATAAACATACCTTTGTCAGAGCCGCAATTCTTAGAGATTCCGTTTCTTTCATTTTCAATTTCGATTATGACCTCAGAGCGTTGCTCCTGTAAATAATATTAATATTTATGTTTAAACGATAAACCCTCAAAAATCTTTAATGGTTATATAGGTGCATATATAATATATAAGAGTAGTTCCAAATTTCACTGAAAAACGTATTTAGTATTAAACTAATATTTTACCTTTAAAATCGACACCGACTGCGCATGTGTAAGGCCTGTCATTGGGCAGCCGTTAATACTTTTAATTTTTGTTCCCTTTTTGATTCCTGCCTTGGCTGCAATACTGTCTGATAAGACACGATGGACCTACAAAACATATCATATTATCATCAATATTACTTCTTTTTAGCTCAGTTAAGTTGCCATCCACTTTTTAAATGCGAAAATGAGGGTATTACTGCAACTATTAAAAAAATTATACGATATATAATTACTGGAATCTCTCAATCACCCTTCTACCTTGCGTAGTCAGTCAGTTTGATCTTTAGAAATCATAGAAGATAAAATCTTTTGAAGTTCTACGTTAGGAGTTTATTATGTAATAATATTTACTTTATTTAAAAAAATTGTGTTAAATTGAATTAAGGTAATAACTACTCACCGTAACATCTTTTGCCTCACAATCTGTACCTCCAGCTAATATAAGACCTACGCCTGCACCATTTTCTTTTATGAGATGAATTATCTGAGTTTCAATTTTACCAATATCTTTACATTCGTGTTGTTGCGTATCATTCTTAGTCAACTGAGGTGATGTAATTTTAAGATTTAATGGTGTAGTAGATTTTACATTGATTCTACTTTTTAAATCTTTCTGACCTTGTATACTAGTATTAATATTTTCTTCATTTTTCACGAATCTATAATTATGATTATTTACTGTTGTCCCTTGATAAACCTTGCTGTTTTCGGAAGTAGTCTTCTTACTTATCCTACTATAATCATCCAGTCCAGCTTTATTAATCTCCGTCATTATTTTGTCTTTAATGACTTGTGGAACTTCATCATTTCTATCAGTTTCAACAGGTACACCATTTTGTTTTGTTTTATTATTTGCTGACAAATTTCGTTTTAATCTAGAGTTCTTAAAATCAGACTTTCTTTGCCGAATAGTTATTTCACTTTCAGAGTCAGAGTCACTTTCAACAACAATTTTGTTGCGTCGCCTGCTGTCGCCTTTATTCGTTATGACACTCACATTGGATGGGAGCGTAGAAAGGCGTTCAGGCGGTCTAGAAATTGGGCTAGGAGATCTGTCATGAGACTCATGCGAGAATTTAGTTTCAATTACCGGCGAGTTAAGCTTTGCATCTCTACCACTCCTACATTTTGCAGAAGCGAGGATATTCCTTCTATTTATTGTATCGACATTATAAGTTTTTGAAACTCTTCTCTTGTCTGAGTCTGCCACAGAACTTTCTAAAGAACTACAACTCGCCTGCGATCCGGAGGTTGCACCAGATCCAGCTGAAGAACTGAGAGATACATTTGTTTCTGATGATACTGAACGGCAGACCTTCCGTTTAATGTATTCGTCAGCATTTTTATCAATGTGGATTGGTTTTGCTAAAAAGTCGGACTTAACGTATGTAGCATAGTGTAAAATTTTGGGTGACATGCGAGAGCTGTCAGATTCCACATGGTCTAAATGCTGCATAGGCGATGAAGCTGAAGATCGATAGCTGGATTGAGTGGAACTCATCGCTGAATCATTGTCACTGTCAATCACCTCAGTTGTAGTACAAATTTTAACTTCAACGTTCTTAAAGTTGTGTATATTATTAAAATTATTTTTATCATATTGCTTATATACAAGTGGAGAATTAATGTAATGGGTTCTGGATATCTCTGAAGAAGCCCTTAAGGGCTTGTGCAAACTTTGAACAGCGTTAATTTTATTAATAGTTTCCACTTTTTCAGCAAATTTCCGTTCTGGAGTTGATTCTTTAGATAAGCACGATGTCGGTGTATAGACTTGCAATGACTTCCTTTTAAAAGCAGGCGAATACTTGGGGAGATTATTAGGCAAGAAATTTGTTTTCCATTTACTATCATTGAAAGTTAATGCTCTAACATTGCTGACCTTATTTTCACTCTTAACTTCTGGTTTTATAGATTTTTGTAGGAACATTTTTGATAAGTTGTCTTTGACTTTTATTTCAGGTAAATCTATAATGGGTGCTTGCATTTCAGGTATAACTAAACCTCGTAACTTCGACATTGATTTTTTCCGTTGTTCTATTAAATACTCTAAGTTTGACTTGTGCGATCCCGAATGTTTGGAACTATTATCTTCACTAATACTGCGTCCATGGAAAACAGGTCTTGTGAATGTGGCCTCTGAAGCTAAAGTATTGGTACTGCCATAGAATAATGGTTTCTGTAATACTTCTTTTTGAATAAATTTTATGGGTTTAGTTTCTATTATTGTATTTTCACCACCACCTAAAACCTCAGGTCGCTCCGTGTGTCTTTTATACGACCGTGGTGTATCATCAAGGTTATCCTGTGATTTCGTTAGTCGCCTATCTAACGACGATATTTCTGTATAGTTTTTGACACAAGGTGTAACACTTTTTCTTATAGTAGACTGAGATCTAACCGGCAAAGTGCCACATTTGTCTATGCGATCGGAGGATATTGCAAGATCTGATGAAAACATCGCTATTTTATCCTTTACACTGGCTTCGCTTCTCGCATCTTGAGTTCTAGATGTATATGAGAACCGTGGGCGAGTGGTCGGCCAGTTTGAGGGCAAGCGTGGGGGTAATCTAGTGGGTAAATCTGGTATCTTCTCAATCGCATCAGAAGGCGTTTCCACACCATCAGGAGGCTGTCGAGGACACATCGGTAACGGTGCCTCGTCATTTGAAAGGCTTTTGTCTTCAGCATCGCTGCGATTTAGGCGCTCTGAAACATACATTTTACATAATTAATAAAAAAAATATTTTATATAAAAGGTTATTGTAACATAAAGATATAAAAAAACATCTTTATGATTAAAATATATTCATAAAATTTACTTTATGTTCATATTAAAATAAAAAAATATTATAATCTTGAAGGACGGATAAAAATATTGAAAAGTTACTCTACCGCTTTTCATGACGACGACGAAGTCTGCTGCATTTACAAAAAGTACTAAACAATTGCTGCACTGCTTACAATAATACTAAATTTTATTTTTTATGTTAGACAGTTTTATTTGATGATTTAAAGCCAAATCATCAATTGTCCTTGGCTTGATATGTTTACGCAAAAGTCAATATCAGAAATATTGAGACAACATGATTCACTATCCTATTACAGTTGACCATTGACCAATATCGTGCCTACTGTCTTTGCACTAAGTGATGCGTCATTTATTTACCTCACCATTACAAAATATATAGATGATGCACCTATAAATAATCAAATAATAGACGTAATGACCATCAAATTATACATGCGTTCAAAATCATTGTTTGATGTAAATTACGTTAGCATAGTTAACGATACCTTCCTTTTCTTCCTCAATTGGGTGAAGTTTCAGATGCCGAATATTAACAACAGTGTAGGTCTTCGTATGAAATATTAATATCTTTTTAGTATACATTTATCACACTGACTTGATATAGCAATACTTTAACGCAAACTGAGCGTAGGTTTTGTCTATATGGCACACTTTAAACTATTTGCACAACTGTTTTAAATGTTTTACTAATATTAAAATAATTATAATAATTTTCGTTGAACTCAATAAAGGCATTGAATTCATTTGCACAGTTGCAATTTCAAAATACTTTCGATTACTCCTTACAAATTATATTCACGTGTAAAATAGAGAAATTAAATAAATTGAATACAAATAAAAAATCATAAAAATCAATCTAGGAACGGAAACATAAATAAGTTTTATCGAGATGCTTATAAAGCATTTGTTTTGTTGTCGGGCGAATGTTACGTTTAACCAACTTTCAACAAAGGAGGGTGGTACGTAAGCTTTTTACCAAAGGACTATAATTTATATTCTATAAACCTACTAAAAAAGATAAATTTTCCATTGTTCAGTTTAAAAGACAGATTTTTTTTCAAACCCCTATTATCTCACAAATTTGCAAAAAGAGTATGTACTTCACAATTTTATCTAAGAATCCCATAGACTTACTTATCAAAATGTGTAACGGTAAAAAAATTCCCACTTCATATTATTTGAACATTAATTCGTCCATAGCAAATAATCTTTGTAACTTTTTAATAAACAAGCCTAAAACCGGTTTCTGTTCTGCTGTGCTGTGCTGATTTTTTTTGTAATCAGCTAAATGTTTTAAAAAGACTAAAAGCTGTTTTTTTTATTTATATTATTAAAATAAAATATAAATAAAGAAATAGTTTTCTAGACTATCATTATTAACATTAAGAGGTATGACATAGAAGGAAAAATAATTCCGATTGGACAATTAAGAATAATGGTGTCGCATAATTTTTAAATATAGCGTAGCGTACAAAGCCTTCCCCAAAACTTCTGTTTTATTGTTCACTTTAGCTATGTGTACAAAGAAATTTGGATTTTAGAGAAGGTCAGTGTCAGCCAAATCTTTAAAATGGATACCAATACAGAGAATTGGATCTCCTTGATATAGATATTTCTTTTATCTGTTACTAATCGTATTCTCTTTAGGCCAGAAATTAATTAATAATAAAATTGTAAATTATTTAATATGACTTTTCTTATATTATATATTATTATGTACGCTGTAGGGGTAAATGTTTTTTAAATATACAAAAATGAATAAATACTAAATTTTTGCTAATTTATTTAGTAATTGGCTTAGATTGAATTTAATAATAAATACTAAAGGATTTATTTTAGGTACAATTTGAAAAAATATATTAATTTCTATACGTAAACCGAATTCAAATAAAGTACCCTACAAATATTTATTGTTTTATCTCTAAATATCTATAATTATGAATTATCTCTATAATGAGTTACGTTCGCATTAAGTATTTTGCTCGTATCTTTAAAAATATACCAACCAAGTAAAGACATAGAGCGCCTCGGAAGCCTCCGTGTGTCCAACATTGTGTAACTTTAATCTCCTGAATTAAAATCAAATTACATCAATTCATAACACTGCACTTTCGTTTATAAAACCAGTTTTCTGTTCACGTTCATTCACAAACTTACTTTCATCGCTTTGGGAAAAAAAATCCGAAAACAATGTGTGAAAAACAAAGGATCGAAAAGCGAGACTCAGCCGAGGAAGATCGAATATGGAATGCGGAACACTTCCATTTCAGTCCGAAATAACAGTTATTTAACATAGGGCTGCGTGTGCGCTTGCGGCTTGCGCGTATGAAGGCTAAATCGGCGTACGCGGTACCGCCGCGGCGGAACGCGATGCACTAAGTCGCCAGTTTGCCACGGACTTGCAGAATTTTGCAGCGTCGCCGCCCTTGACGGGGGCGTTGCTCCGAACCAGGGACGGACACGTCTCCCCGCACCCTCCGCAACACTAGTCACCACTTACAGGACCTCACTGCTAACTCTCCACAGTCTAATCTACTTCACCCATAATACAAACTGTACTGTAGCAATAACCGAAGAATCCGAAAAATATTTTCAACTTCTTTTCAAGTTCGTTTCTATACGTTAACGTGGAGCTGTGAGCTATTTTCATAATTAAATGCGAAGGAACGTGTAGCTTAGCAAGTGGTCAAGCCGGCTTTGTTCTAGTATCGATTTAAGTGGACCTAAGCATCGATCACTAAATCTTTCTATATTTAGAGGAAGGCGGAGGGCGGCGACCGAGCGCAGACGGCGCCCGCGCACTACAGATGTCAGGGTCGCGACGCCCTGCGCCATGCTCTACTTCCGTTTATACGTTTTTCTTCTTAAGCATTAAAAAAGAAGCTAAAATAGGTTTGAAACCTATTCAACTCTTATAAAGCTGATTTATCTTCTTAAGTCTCTTTTAAAATACTAGTTAATAGCAATTAAGGTTAACTTTATTATAATTTCATCCTTCGTTTCGTTTTATTCGTCTACAGTAATTTAGTTGCTAAAGTTCATCGTAAGGAATGACGTAGCTTTACACGGAATGCGGAAGTTAACTTATTACAAAATCTTTGTAATTTGTTTAGGACCAGTTTGCAACAGCAACACAATTATACAATCAAAGATTGACCCAAGTTAATCAGCTCCGACTATTGCATAAAAATGCAATAAAAGCTTCGTTTTTATGTTGGCACGAAGCCTACAGCAGGTAAGTTGTTTATCCATTAAAATGAATTTGGCAAGCTTTCATTTAATTCCCTCACGGTCCGCTGCATACAAGTTAAGCGGAGGCAACTGAGAGAATGCGCAAAGATGACGTCGTCCGGAGGCTGGAATGCCGCTGGACCCTCTCCTCCCTCGCGACTCGCAATCTGAACCGCTCCGACGTGTTTGCTAACTTGTTTGCACATTTTTTTACATTCCCCTCTTGCCATTAAATACTTTTTAATATGTATTTATAATATCATAAAGTGCGTGCAGCCTGTACGCGTGGGAATTCGTTCTTAATACTCAATGGAAGTGAAAGATGCAATAAAAAGATTGCCGGCCCAAAAGCTATCATCTCATCTGATCGCGTGGTTGATTGATACTTGAATCAATTAATTAATGACCTTTAGCAAGATCAGCGCTTGAAAGATCTAATAGATGATCCGGGCATCTTGAATATTGAATAATCATCAGTTTCATCGATTATTTAAATAATAGACTCAGATTGAGACTATGAGAGTAAAAGAAAGTTCAATCGATTTCACTTTCAAACTAAATTAACTTTCTCCAATGACATGTCTTACATAATATTTCTAAGATAAAACAAGCCATAATCGCAACATTTGTAACTAAAGGTCGTTAAGTTAAAATATAAATCACTTTCATTGTACTTTAAATAATGCCAACATATATTTTATATATTAAGAAGGAATTCTAGTAGTATGACTTTAGATTTTAGAGGAAAAAAATTGGTGGTTATTCGACGTTCACAATTTTGAAATCTTACAGTTTCTGTTAAATATTGAACGCAATGCGTAACATTATGGTTTCTTAATAGTCCGAGTAGCACCGAGGCATCAGTCTAAAGTAAACAGCTCAATATATTAAAATAACCAAACAGACAGACAGCCTTCTTGTACAGTGAAAGAACAGCCAATCACTTTCAATCATAAAATGTCAATCTGAAATTGCATTTTGCGGCATGCAAAATGTTGAACAATGAATTCTGAGGCAGGTCGCGGTCGTAACATTATTGGTCGTGCAGCGGACAGCAGGAATTCAGTTCGCCTTACTTTCCACAAGATTCTTTGTGTTGAAGGAAGTTTAAAATATTTTATTAACAAAAACATCGAATTCCTCAACGATTACGTAATCGTTTCGTGAAGTAAGCAAATTACTTAAATATTTTTAATGTAGTTTTATATACAAATTATTAGGCTATACTACTTTATAATAAAAATATGCTTCATTAATAGATAAAATTCAATCATTAATGATTTAATTTGTTCAGTGTAAGTTCTGAAGTAGGTAATTTTCTTACAATTTACTTATAGTATAACTATAAATGTAAGATGCTTTTACTTTAGTAATTTTTACTAACAAAACAAATTAAAAAAAGCATCAATTCATTGCAACGGAAAAGGAAATTAAAGGAATTGCCAAGCTTTATTCAAAGGAAGTTAAGTAAAGGTCACACCATGTGTTGGCAATGAACAGGTGCCTCGAAACAAACGTTGCAAGGTGCCCTTTTGAAAAAAGATAGCGATAAAACATTTCTAACGAACGTTTTTAAAATTTCTGAATACCTGAATTAAGATTTTAACTATGAAACTTGAATACTAGTCAAATAATGTATTTTTTATTATTATATATATAATAATTTGGTAGATATTGAT